AACGTCCACAGAACCAGCACACAGTGAGGTGTGGGCAGAGCATTCCGAAGTTTGTGTGTAAAAAGCTCGATCACCTGAAGGCGAGTTTGTGACATCTGGTGTCAACTAATGCAGATTTATCAAATATTCCACAGTAGGACTGGGCAGCAGAGGAGATATTATAATATTTTGCATAATCATGGGGGCATTTTTTCTGGAGCAACAACAGAACTCTGTCTTATCAGTACTGAGCTGCAAAATATGTTCTGCGGTCTCACACCCAGTCCCTGATCGTGTTTAGACATAGTTGAATTTTATCTGGAAATAAATATGTTCTGTTCGATCTGTCTCTGATCTTTCACAAGGGCAGCAGATAGAAAGAGAATAACAGGGGACCCAGAAACGAGACAGCGAGGAGGAATCAGACCCCATTTTTAGTTTACAAGATCAAAATAACCGACTGAAAGCAGCTGCTGTTGTTCAGATCTCAGGCTGCTAAAACAAAAATAAAGGCCACTATTTCTTTATGAAGGGGAGCAGAGTGTGTGGACCGAACCACAGCAGCTTTTAGAGCAAAGAAACCATGAACCAAACCTTCACTCAGCTGATCCTAAACCACCACAACTGAACAGACGTGAAGAAAAGGGTCATCAGTGTCACTGCTGCAGCTCCTCTGAGTTAGTAATGACGTGTGCTTATATTTTCATATCGTTCATACTTTAACTAGAACTGAATGATCAGAGAGTCAATCAGGAAGCATTACAAACGGGTGGGTAGCAACTCGTTACCAGTTCATTAGTACAAAAGTTAGGCAACTTTTCACTTTTAAAAAGTGTACTTTTACACTTTACTTTCCTCCAGTATTCTTTTGGTCTCAGTAATCTATTTTTAAATGTTACAACTAGTCTGTTATCTGCTCTGCATTTTGCTGCATTTAGCAAAATGAGCGGCCATCTAAGCTGTGTTACACAGGAGAGCTTTAACTGAAGCGCCTCTGTCAGATATCAGCTGCACACACCGAACAGTACATTAAAACACAAAGTAACCTGTACTTTGAATAGTTTATTGACCAGATACTTTTACTTGAGTAAAGATTTGAAGTACTCGACTTATTACTGATTATATAAAAGAAAATCTTACATTCAGACACAAACAAACCTTCCACAATTACAAAATGTATATAGAAAAAACTCAATTCACTTTTAAAAGATCAAATAAAGAAAGCAACATGTTTATTTTAATACGTCACATCATTCTTTGAGGGTCTCAACCTGCTGATTTTCTGTACAAGAAGTTTTTATATCAGATGCTAAAATCTTTTGAAGCGTGAGACTCAGGTAGATCAACTGGGACGTATTTATTTAGCCTGTATTCGTGCACTTGACAGTGTTCAGCCTTTAGAGGTGTGGCAGTTAACACCCCAGCTGTTGTCAGGCGAGCCTCTGGTTGTCAGGGCGATGTATAGACTCCTGATGGTATGTTTGGTATTTCTATGGTGATTAGGTGTGAACGTGGCATAATTAAAGTGGGTGTGGACGAGTGTGTTTTGTTTTTCAAATTAAAGTTAATGCTATGCAATTTTTAATTTTTGTTTTGAATGATTTCCTTGTTTTATATTTTCATGATTCCAAAACTGCAGAATGTTTCTCACAGATATTCAGATATTTGATTTCAGCTGGAGCGACACCTGAAAAACCTGTATTTTCCAGTCATTTACAGGCTTTCACAAAAATGATTTGGGATTAAATCACTTTACATTTATTACAACCTTGAACAGTACATTGTCTACATTTATACTGAAACATGAATACATTAGTAAGCATCCATCCATCCATCCATCTTCATCCGCTTATCCGGGGTCGGGTCGCCCGTCCAGGAGGCATCCTTACCAGATGCCCAAACCACCTCAACTGGCTCCTTTAAACGCAAAAGAGCAGCGGCTCTACTCCGAGCTCCTCGCGGATGGCCGGGC